CAGCACTGTCACAGCACATTCAGAGCTTGTTTTCCTTTTTTTTTTTTTTTTGCAGTACTGGGGATTGAACTCAGGACCCTGCGCTTGCCAGGCAAGCAGTTATTCTACTGAGAGCTCCTTTTCCTAAGCTTCATTTCCCACCTGTTTTTTCTGTCCCTGTTCCATACTGATAAGAAAGTTCTCTTACAACCTATACAACCATCTTACAGGATTACTAGGATGCCAATAAACTCCCTTTTAAAAATCAGTTGTTGGACCGGCCAAATAGCTCAGCAGATTAAAAGTGCTTGCAAGCAGGCGAAGGGGCCAGGGGTTCGATCCCCTGGGCCTGCTGTGCTGGCCCTGGGGAGCGCTGAGATGGCAGTTGAGGCTGGGCTTGGTGGTGTGCGCCTGTAATCCCAGCTCTTGGGAGGCTGTGAACAGGTGAATCACTGCAAGTACAATCTAGTAGTGCAACTCTGAACACCCTGTAGATCCTTCCCTAACATACAAGTTTTTAAAAAATCAGTTGTTTGTATACACTATTAACAGCAAGTTTGAGGCCCCCATGAACAATTTAGTGAGAAACTGCCTCAAAGTTAAATAGGATGAGGGCTGTAGCTGAGTGAAAACCCCTGGCTGCAGAGATCCTTATTTTTTCACAGCAAGGTTACAGGCTGAACTGTAAGCCATAAGACGTTTAGCAGATATTCTGGCCTCTACTAGTGAGATACGAGCAACAAACTTTCACCAGCTCCTCCACAGTTGCAATGACCCCAAAAATCACCTCCACTTGAGGGCAAACGCTTTATAAAGGACTGCTTAACCTTCCTTTAAAGGTAAAAGAGAAACTGAGAGGCTAAGCATATAGCTCAGTGGTAGACTGCACAACTGGCAAGTATGTGGCTGTTTGGTTCTCAGCATCATAAAAAAATAAAAAAAGCTCTGGGTTTAATCCCCAGGATTGGCAAATAAATGAAACGACTGATTAAAATAAAAACTTTGGCACATGAGAAACTTTACCTCATCTAAGTTAATCAGACCAGAAAGTCTTTATCTAAAAAATCAACACTTTTCCTTTAGGGTTCAGATCTCATTTCATGAAGTAGTCTCACCCATGAACTATATCGAGCGTGGCTGGGACAGTACACACCTATAAAAAATAAGATGCATAAAGCAGGAGACCGAGGGAAGAAAATGAGTCTTACATTGCACTCCCCACTCTCGTTCCTCTAAATGATATTCATGTTAACATTAGACAGCAACTTCATTAAGTTTAGAAGCCTTAATCGGAGTAAAACTGGATACATGGAGTAAAACTGACCAAGTCATTTTTAAATCACTTGTCAAAAACAGTAAAGCTTAATGAGAAACAGGCTGTGTGTGGTGGCACATGGCTGCAATACCATGTTCCTGGGAGGCTGAGACAGGACGATCAGCTGTGACTTCAAGGGTAGCCTGAGCTACATCGAGAGTTTAAGACAGTCTCAACTACACAGTGAGACTCTGTCTCAAAAAAACAGAAAATAAAAATCCCCCTCAAAACAATGCGAAATAGCCACATTTCACATAGGGACAAAATGGAGAATGAGTTGGACGTACAGATGAGTGGTAAAATGTGTGCTTAGCAAGCACAAACCTCTGGCTGGGTTCAGTCAGTAGCAGCACCAAAATAAATAAAAATGAGGAATTACTAGCATCATTAGGAAGCACTTTTCAGAAACTCTGTCCTAGATGCTGGACCTGGGATTAAAAATAAGTATGATACTGGCTTTGAGCATCCAGCATAATAAAAGGGTAGGTAAGCATAGCACATGCCTGTAATCAATCTAGTACTCAGGAGGCTGAGGCAGGAAGATCACCATAAACTTGAGGCTGGCCTGCGTTACACATTTTTTTTTGGTCTCAAAAGAAACAAAATCAGACAAAAACCAAAATCCAAAGTGAATTGCAAAAAAGGATACTGGGAAAAACAAAAACTTTCTTAAACAGCAGAGTGGAGAAACCAAAAATATGTAACCAAAGGAAAAAACATAATAAAGATTTTTAAAAAATGGAACTCCGTGTCTGCCTGGCAAACATGAGGCCCTGAATTTGATCCATGGTACTTCCCTCCCCCCCCCCCCAAAAAAAAAAGTGGAACTCAGGAAGTCAGGTAACTCAGGAAAATTCAAGTAGAAGAAAATTCACTATGAATAAAAATTCTGCCCATTCAAAAATCCAATGAAAAAATGGGCATCTGAGATGAATACACACTTCTCAGATGAAGACAAATGGCAAATAAATATACGAAAAAATGTTTAACAGCATTGGTCATTTGAGAAATGCAAAGAGATTCCATCTCACCCCAGAAAGAATAGCTATCAAAAAGTCAACCAATAACATGCTGGAGGCTCTGGGGGAAAAAGAACCCTTCATTGTTGGTAGAAGTGCAGACTGGTGCAACCACTGTGGAAATCAGTGTGAAGAATCCTCAAAAAGCTAGGACTGGAGGCCCCTTTCAACCCAGCTATTCCCCTCCTGGATATTTTTCCAGAAGGATTGAAAACATCAGACTATAGCGATATATGTGCACCCATGTTTATAGCAGCACAATTTGTAACAGTTAAATCTTGGGAGACAATCCAAATGCCCAACAACCAATGAATGGATCAAAAGAGATGTTATTTATTTTTATACAATGGAATATTACTCAGCCATAAAGGATAAACTCGCTTTTATAGGTAAATGAATGCAACTAGAGACTATTCTCTTAAGTGAAATCAGAATCACACGTGTACACTGTATTGTCTAATGTAAGAAACTGAAAGAATAAATTAAGACCCAAAAAGTACTACAGATATAGTGAAGAAACTGCTTAAAAAGAACTGGAAAAAGGAAAAGACAAAGGGGAAAAAAAGACATGTATATAGATGCAAGATAGCTAATTGTACTAATTCCTAAGAGTTAATTGAAAGCAACAATTAGTGCTTATATTATTCGATCAGTTTTGCATGCCTGTATCTGGTAATCTGAGCAACTACTTTGAACACTATGCAATATTAACCATTGTTAATTTCCTATCATTGTTTTGAAAGTCTGTATTTTTTTCTTTGAAATAAAAACAAAATTAAAAAATTCTGACCAAGTGGTCTCTCCAAAGAGCAGTCCTGCTTATATTTCAGTACTGAGAAAGACATCATAGGAGCGACTATAACCTCCAAACGCCGAGGTTATAGGCCAAGCCTCGCAGACACCGAGGTGACATCCTACTTGCAAGTGGACAGGTGACAAAAACTTCAACTGTTGCAACCCTTATTTCTCACAATGACAGAGGGAGAAATTACTTTTAAAAATATAACTGCCAAAGCACCAACAATCAAATTGAATGAAAACTTTATTTTTTACACATAAAGGTTAATGAAAAACCATGTTTTCTATTAAAGAAAACCCAACATTTCACTTAAAAAGAATGGTGTCTAAATT